CTCTGCTTATGGACCCAATTTAAAATGTTATCTCTGTCTTTCCAGCTGTCTTTGCCCCATTACCTCTTTTTCAAACAACTTTACTTAGGTCTAAAACAGCAGCCTGAATTCACAGCTAAGCAGTTTCAATGGCTATTTGGACAATAGCCAATTATTCTTAACTAACACAAGCAAATCTTGATAACATGGGTCTAAATGAAAGCAGTGTTGGACTTAGAACTCCCTATGACAGATAGGATTAAGGAAGAATTTCTATTCAGGAGATAAAAGTTCCTGGGGACGGGCTTCCCTGGTGGTGCAGTGGTTGAGAGTCCGCCTGCCGATGCAGGGGACATGGGTTCGTGCCCCGGTCTGGGAAGATCCCACATGCCGGGGAGAGGCTGGGCCCGTGAGCCATGGCCCCTGAGCCATGGCCCCTGAGCCTGCATGTCCGGAGCCTGTGCTCTGCAACGGGAGAGGCCACAACAATGAGAGGCACGCGTACCGCAAAAAAAAAAAAAAAAAAAGTTCCTAGGAAAAGAAACTACTCACTGGAGGAGTAGTTCAAGATAGTCTAGGAAATGAAAATATTCTTATTTAATAGTCTTTTTTACTTTGGCTATGATTACCAAAATTATCTCTAGGAAAGGGTTAAAAAAAAAAAGAGTTGAAACTGATAAATAGTATCTTGTTTTCTAGACCAAAGATTTCTATGTTTCTAGGTACAGTTACTTTCTAGGGAACAAAATAATAACCTCTAACAATAATAATAATTTGGCCCCTGAATCTGGTGATGTTACTACTGATTTGTATTATTTCTATTCGTCTATAAATGGTTACTAAACCATTTATAACCCCTACCTATTTGAAAATTTAGCAGCAAAAAGCAGATAAAGCTAAATTTACAGACTCTACACTATTTTTTTCCTTTTTATTTTTATTTTAAAAATCTTAAGTGATAAAGAAGTGATAAAAGATGACATTAATAAATATTAGAGAAAAAAAGTATGTCTGACTCCTAAAAAGGTTTTCTTGCAAATATGTATAAACTGAGTTTTTTTGTTTGTTTGTTTTTAATAAACTGAGTTTTATAGAACACAAATTCTCTCTGATTCTTCCTACATAATTAACTATCAGGTTTTTTCCTAGCTTCTTTTCTTTTCCTTTAAAAACTGCTTAATGATGAAATGAACACTACCTAATTCAGGAAATAAATATTCTAATCACTGCTTTAATGTCATACTTAAGAGAGAAAAGTTATGCCTTTAAACTCTAAAATAAAACATAACTAAATGAGTTTACATAAACCCAAAAGAACTCATCAAGTGGCCATAATTTTCTTTCTTTTTAAAATACTGTCATATTGACTCTGTAGAATACGTTCTCCTTAAAGCTCAAACATATCACCCCCATCACATACTGACCATGACACTGAAAACTCCTGCAAAGCTTATGTGCCAAGATGCAAATCCTATCTCATGTCAAAAAAAAAAGAGAGATTTTAAGAAATTTAGATTCATTTATTACAGGGTTGGAAAAACTACTCAGATCTGTCCAATTCACATGTCACTAAATGATCCTTCTGCTTTCATTAAATACCAAATGCAAAGTGGGCCTCCTAAAGAGACTCTGCATGAAGGTTATGCAAATAAAAGAGAGAAAATACCCAAAACATGTGTGAAAAAGCAAAAAGCACAGAAAGGACCAGGCGTATAATCAAGCACTAACTATAACAGAATATTCAGCAATGTAACAATGGGATGCATTTGGGGAATCATTGTAATAGAAAACTCATGAGCCTGAATTCCATTTTTTAATGCTGTTGTTATGCAAAAATAATTGTATATAATATTAAATATTTACTGAATAATAATTCCTTTGTATCTTCTCAATGTATATCCATAGGGTACATTCAAAATATATCTGTTGGTTGACTGATATAGGGTCATAAAATTACATTTTTATTCAGTATTGTTAACTGTTAGGTATGCTGAAGGGTTAGAAATCAACTCTTGAGGACAAGAACTTTAAGTGGAATAGATAGCTGGACTTATGGGAGGAAAGCAACCTCCTTGCTTTAAAGGAACTGCTTATTTATTTATTTATTTTTATCATCTTTATTGGAGTATAATTGCTTTACAATGGTGTGTTAGTTTCTGCTTTATAACAAAGTGAATCATCTATACATATACATATATCGCCATATCTCCTCCCTCTTGTGTCTCCCTCCCACCCTCCCTTTTCCACCCCTCTAGGTGGTCACAAAGAACCGAGCTGATCTCCCTGTGCTATGTGGCTGCCTCTCACTAGCCATCTATTTTACATTTGGTAGTATGTATAAGTACATGCCACTCACTTCGTCCCAGCTTACCCTTCCCCCTCCTCGTGTCTTCAAGTCCATCCTCTTTGTCTGCATCTTTAGCCCTGTCCTGCCCCTAGGTTCTTCAGAACTTTTTTTTTTTTTTAGATTCCATATATATGTGTTAGCATACGGTATTTATTTTTTTCTTTCTAACTTACTTCACTCTGTATGACAGACTCTAGGTCCATCCACCTCACTACAAATAACTCAATTTCATTTCTTTTTATGGCTGAGTAATATTCCGTTGTATATATGTGCCACATCTTCTTTATCCATTCATCTGTCGATGGACACTTAGGCTGCTTCCATGTCCTGGCTATTGTAAACAGAGCTGCAATGAATATTGTGGTACCTGACTCTTTTTGAATTATGGTTTTCTCAGGGTATATGCACAGTAGTGGGATTGCTGGGTTGTATGGCACTTCTGTTTTTAGTTTTTTAAGGAACCTCCATACTGTTCTCCATAGTGGCTGTATCAATTTAGATTCCCACCAACAGTGTAAGAGGGTTCCCTTTTCTCCACACCCTCTCCAGCATTTATTGTTTGTAGATTTTTTGATGATGGAAAGGAGCTGCTCTTGAAATCCTAGTTTGCTTTCAGATACAGAGAGCAAACGACAATCAGAACCTGATTACTTGCAAACTAAGTATGCCCTCTGGAAACTAAATATGTCCTAGAGACATTTACTTTCCCTTTCTTCAATGGTCACTGTCTTTATTTCACAGAATAGAATGATCACCAGCCATCACTATTCTCTTACACCTAGTTACTCAAAAGGTTGGTCCTAGCCGCACTGGCATCACCTGGGAGCTGTTTAGAAATGCAGAATCTCAGGTCCCACCCCAGACCTGCTGAGTCAGCATCAGCATTTTAATAAGACTCCCAAGTTGTTGAGAAGCATTGCTCTAGTGGACAGAACACTGAAGCAAGTCAGAAGACTCAAGTTTAAGTTTAAGCCTCAGAACCATGACTTAACAGGTATTTAAGAGTGGGCAAGACAGCATTTTTTAGACGTGGCTTCCTCAACTATAAACTAGAGGCAATATTTGCCACTTTATTTACATATACAGCTACCAAAGAGGGTTGTTTTGGGAATCAAAAAAATGATGGATGTTAAAACTCTCTGTAAATTATAAAGCACTACACAAATACAAGGCACTATTATTAATAATAAATATAGCTTAATTATACCTGTCCTCATTTGATCACTCACAGACCATCAGAGGCATGTTATTAGATTATACTACATTATTGAGATAAAAGCCTCCTTCATGTGTCACAAAGCTTTCAAGCCCCTAATCACATTGTAGCCAAACCCTTCTGTTTCCATTACAAACTAAATGCCAACTAGGCCTCCTAAAGAGACTCTACCTATAACACTGCTATGATCTTGCCCCAAACACTTGATTTATTCTTACAATCCGTTCTTTTTTGGGCTTTACTATAATTTCCAAGATAACAAACTAACTGATTTATTTAACCCACTGCCAAGCCTGAGAACCGAGCAGCCCTGGAAAAGACTGCTTTTGCACAAGTCCTTGGCTTTTTTGGCCCACTCAGCAATAGCCTCTCTTCTCCAAAGCAGAGCACGGCTATCAGGCTGTGGTTTACATGCTGTTGTTTACACTCGGTGTTCTACGTGGTATATTTTATGCTAAGGGAAGAAACCAGTACCCCAGCTTTCTCCCTAATACCCCCTTATCTTAAAAGAAGTCCATGAATCTTAAAAAATGAGGAATTCCTAAACTGTATCAGTGTCCAAAGGCTGTTATGCCTTTTTCTTATACATCAAATGAATGCCAAGAAGCTTCTTATAACCAGGGCTTTGTAAACCAAAACTGGATGACTTTAAAAAATAAAGTCTAACTAATTGGATAAACTTATTCATTCATGAGATTCAGTTTCTACAAAACGTAGAAAATCAACTAACATCATAAAATGCTATAGCCATTAGCATTATAAGCTGCAACCATAAACTGACTTTTTCAGCTGCTCAAACAAACCCTTTCTCAACCCAGAGAAACAAGGCTTCCCTCTCCTCTCGGAGTTGGGTGTGCAGCCCCTACTTCCACTGTCGCCCCATATGCCACGGAGACCCTTACTTAGGATTCAGACTCCATGCAGGGATCAGAAAAGGATTAACACATGCAACTGTGCAGCAACACTTTTAGACACAGTTTAACTTACAAAAAAAAAAAAGTCCACCCAGCACAAGAACAATCCCCAAGTCAGCCCAAGAGCAGAGAATTAGTACTATCAGGTGATCAGAAACAAAACCAAGGCAAACACCTACCAAATTCAATATTCAGAGTAATTATTATTAAAAGAACCACCACTGGTGCATACTCAAAAACCACTATCAAAAGGAAAAGGCTACTAGAAAAGCTCGCACTATTTCCTCAAAAAGCACTTGGTTTTGATAGAAGACTTGACTTTAAGACATAAGAGGCACAGAAGCAGTACCTTTAAGGACAGTTTTTCAGGCTAAGGCTACCAGGGGATTAAGTTCCTTCTCCATGAAGGAAATGAGAGAATAGTGTATGGTATCAATGACAGCTGGAGAAGCAACTGGGTGAGTGCTCATCTGTGGAACAGGGAAGGTGTGATATGAAAGCAAGCTGCCCTTTTCCTAACAGAGGATTCAGGATGCACTCCTACCAGTCTCTGCTGCTCCAAGAGAAGATCTGCTTCTTCCTTCTCCTTTTTGTATAGGATCTCCATTTCCTGTAGCCTAGAAGGAAAAGAGAAGCAAGAGAGGAAAGAATAAATTGCAAAATCACTGAGCTGTTTCATGAATTCTGCTATGTGTTTAAAAGAAATGAGAGTCACGTGGACCACATCACATTTGTACATTACCTTTTTTCCATCTCCTGTTTCATATCAATTCCTTGTTTTTCCAGAAGCTCTCTCTGGGCAAACGTCCAGTCCACAGGCTCAGAGGGGGTCTCAGCAGAAGGAGTCTTCTCCCGCTCAGCCCGTGCTTGCTCCGGGTGGTTAAAACGAAACACATGGTTTTTACCCATGATGATACGGTTTCCTAGCACAGAACAGAAACATGGATGAGAAATCATTTTTTAAATGTGTTGCATCTAGGTTAATAACCTAACTCTCCCTAATGCAAAAAGACAGCTTTTGGAGTTTTACAAGAACATAAATCCTAATGCTGACTATCACTTCAACGTTTAGACAAAGAATTAAAGAGTTGCTTGCACAAGCCATGTGTTCTGAAGACTTCAAGCCTCTTCCAGTCTCACCTGAGCGCAGTTGAACAGGCTGGGCCACCCTCTTGCCATTTACGTAGGTTTCTGAACGTTCACAGGGCTCCAGGGTTACAATAACTAAGAGGAACACACACTACTGTTAGCATCACAAACCACTGGAAGAAAATAATGGAAAGCAGGTGAGGATTCAAGGTGACTAGAATAGATTCCTGCAACCAACCAAGTGGCTTAGTAGCTATATAATAGTTCATTTTGGGGTACCAGAACCAGGGCTGTGGCTCAGAAACATTTAAATGAATTTGACAAACTTCAGAAGAAGACAGGAAATGTTAGCTTCAGTGATATCTGACAGTTCAGTATATAAAAACGAAAACCATCAGAAATCTTAAGTATGAGATATAGGTAATAATCAGAAACTTAAGATCAAAAGCTAATATTTTGATTAAGGGAGGAATAAATTATACAACACAGAAGTACTATAAGATTGTTGTTGTTTTGTTAATAACCTGGACAAAAATCAAGGTGGACTTTTTCTTCCCTTTTAGGTAAAAATAAATTCTACTGGCTTAAGACCAGAGGTTCTTCAAATCTCCCACTACCCAGGATATTTGTTCCCTTCTTACTAGTCTATCAAATAATTAAGATTCAAGACCAAGCCTAATTGCCTATGTCCCGCTCAATTCTTGGCAGTAACAAAACGGCTCCTTTCGTCCAGGCTTTTTTCATGTAAAGTAGCTATGTCCATGCCTGCATTTATAAGCAGCCCGTTTCTCCATTTTCAAATATTAGATTGTACAAGAAAGTATCACTGAAAGACACAGGGAATACCAAGCCTTGGGGATTTCTCATCATACAGAATGAAAAGTTTGCTGGAAAAGCTAAGCCAAGAACTCTCACCATCCCCACTGTTGTTCCTCTCGCTCCGGAAGATACAATGCTCTTCTTTAATGTGAGCTCCACTCAGCACGATGTCCTGGCGCCGCTCAGCATCTGCTTGGCCAACCCTGAACACAAGGGAAAGTGTTTCCCAGGGAAATTCAGACACAAAAAGCACTACAAACAATGAGCCTCTTTCTCCCAAAGAATATTCTTTGGTACATACAAAAAAGGTATTGCCTTTTTTATCAGAGGCTTTGAACTGCAAACTCTATTTTCATATATGGTGAACCTCCCTACACCAGAAAAAGCAACAAAGGGGCAAATGATACACCAAATAACTCACAGAGCATCATAAAAAGATACAAGTGAACTACTCTCCTTAATGAATTCATATAAAATGTTAGGAGTAAAATTTTACTTACGGTCTGCTAGGAAAAAACTACACGTTAATTGGTTCAGCTGGTTAAAACACTTAATTTGAGAAGAGTAGAGAGGATAGTTTAACCTAACTATTTCAGACAAGAAAAACAGCAAAATAGTAAAAGAAATTTTTCACCAAACAACTTCCCTTTAGCTATTCAATCATCCTAAGAGAAAAGAAAACATTAAGTAACCAAAAGAAGAAACAAATGTACCTTGTAATTCCATCTTTGATGTAATAAAGAAGGCATTCGGACATCAGTGGGTCCTCATTGAGGTTAACAAGATGTGGCGTCTGAAAAAGGTTACAGATGATCAGTTTGGAGGAAGTACCACTGAGAGGGCTATAAGAATGACAGGGACATACAGGCTGATGGCTTCTTGGATTACCAGAGTGCCTAGAAGAGGGGCTGCTTTCATTCCTAGTAGCAATTCCATAGTAAACAGAAAACACTCTCTTCAGGCCTCCCCAAACTACACTAATGCATTCTATTTAAAAACCTGAGTTCTGGGATAAAGAACAAGATCCAATTCTTGATAAGGTCAAAGCATAGAGAACACAAAAGAAAAATTAGAGCAGGCTGATTCTCTGGATTCATAATTTTTGTAAACACTTGGTCAAAAATCTTGAAAGACAGCAGAATTTGCCACCCCTAAACATGCCACTTTGACATAGTGATTATTTTGAGCTATTAGGCACTTGAAAAACAGTACAGGCAGAGAGTGGCTTTCTCTGAATCCCCTTTCCTGCCTAAGCACGGATGGTCCAAAAGGAACTCAGCTGTCAGAAATCCCCTCCCGGGAGTCTCATCAACCAGGAGAGAAAACTAGAAATTGATACCACACCCAGACAAACTTTGTCACAAATTATCATTCCTCCCATCTACTCTTGAAGGGTCCCTTCATCTTTCCTAAAAGCCAATTATGCTCCCCTGAGAGGCCTACCTCCCCATCCCCTTCCGCTACTAGGATGGTATTTAAGCCAGAATTCTAAACCATCTCAGGGAGTTACTCATTTTTCCCTGGGTATCTCCCATGTATATATGTTAATAAACTTCTTTGTTTTTCTCTTGTTAATCTGTCTTTTATTACAGGGGTCTCAGCCAAGAATTCAGAAAGGTAGAGGAAAAATCATTTTTTGCCCCCTACAACCTCAAGAAATATTTAATTTTTCATTTACTTTATAAAAATGTTCCCACATCCCCTATCATTTCCCTTTATAATTTTTATCAATTCTTCCATGGTCCCAGTTAATGTCTTTAGTTTGTTAGTTTTTATCTTAAAGAAGAAATTAAAATTACTGACATTCAGTAATACATCTTCTAAAAATCTTTTTCGTCTAACTCTACTACTTCTAAAATCTTTTAAAAACCAACCTTCTTTGGTGAAAATACCCCACTGGAATCCAAAAATAAGTCACATGGTCTTGGGGTCAAAATCTACTCAAGATAGTGCCGGCAAATATGGAAAAATGAAAGAAGAGTCAGATGAGCAGGTTAAGGAAAGGGACTGCAAAAGATGATTTAAAAGAAATTAGAAAAACCTCTACATCCTTCCAACTAACATCTGTCTCTACAGTTAACAGCTTTGTTGGTTTGAGAAAGTCAAAGCCCTCTGTGGGCAGCATTCTTTAAAACCCATCATGAGACTGGCCTAAAGAAAACGGAACCTCAAGAACAGGTTGTTTTTTTTTTCCTTTTCCCTTAGAAGTAACTTTCTCCTAGTTTGTTGAGATATGAATGACAAAGTCTGTATTTATTTAGGTAGTACAATGTCATTGTAAAATGTGTCAATTTGATACATATACACATTGTGCTATGATTACCACAATCAAGTTAACACATCAGAAACAGGTTCTAAAACTGAATTTGGATGTGGTCAGTGGTGTATCCCTTCCTTTCCTGAAGAAGTCTAGAAAGTTAAATCAAGTAAGAGAAAGCTTTAGAAACAGGGATCTCAGTTTGGAATTCTGTGCTGTTCATAATACTTATAACACACAATACTTATTCAAGTTATTTATAATTTGTGTTAAATGCCATAATTTTACAAGTTGTTATAAAAATTTTCCTCACAGTTCGTAACACTGAAAGATGTTATAAAACACCTTTAGATATATGCAAAGGCACAATCTAAATTCTATCAAGCCTATAACTGCTAAAATCTCTACAATCATACATAATATATCTGAATAAAATAATGCCTTACTGAAGGAAAAATTATTAAACTGAAAATCATTGACCTATGGCAATATAAACATATGAAATATTGTTATTATTGTTCCAGGTCTAAAATATACATCTAGGGCTTCCCTGGTGGCGCAGTGGTTGAGAGTCTGCCTGCAGATGCAGGGGACACGGGTTCGTGCCCCGGTCCGGGAAGATCCCACATGCCGCGGAGCGACTGGGCCCGTGAGCAATGGCTGCTGAGCCTGCGCGTCCGGAGCCTGTGCTCCGCAATGGGAGAGGCCACAACAGTGAGAGGCCCGCGTACCGCAAAAAAAAAAATAAAATAAAATAAATACAAAAAAATAAAAAAATATATATATATAAAATGTCTCTAAATCAATTTTCTTTGTTGAAAATAACACATCAGAACTTATAAAAAAGAAAAACCTAACCAGAGAATCCTAAAAAACACCACAGGACTATTTCATATCACATAAAATGAAAGTACCAGTTGAAAACTCCATACCCATTCTATGCTAACCTAGAGAGACCATTATCAGACCCTTGCATGAAGACGTTTAAGTATCCAATAGTTAATCTGAAATCATATGAAATGAAGGACCATTTATTACTAGTATGAAATATATGCTTTGTACATCAATATATATTCTATTACTGTCCTGTAAATAAGCACACAAAATAATCATTTCATAATAGTTTTCCAATATCTAATAATAACTAAGAAGCAACTAAGGGGGGGGTGGAGAAAAAGAAAGAAAAGACCTTGCTATTCTAATTAGCTAAAAATGTATCTACTACTTAACAACTATGACTGTAAGTAGGACAGTAACCACTGGAGTCATTAAAAAAAAAAAAAAAACTGAGAAGGGAGCAGAGGAGGCTAGAAGGATGAGGACAGGAGCTGCTTTACTCAGTCCAGTGGTTGTCTATCACACAAACTGTAAAAGCAAACTGAAACAGTAGTTTTCTACACAAACCTGAACAGCTGAAACTGCTTCCAAAGAATTATAATTCAGGGTTGCTGGCATCTGTGGGGAAAACTACATAGAAAGAGTAGCCAAACTGAAGCAAGGTATGCGAGGTTAGGCTAGGAATTTTAGAGAAAGCAACAATGAAGATGAGGAAACATACTGAATCATGACCAAAATTTACAGATTTATACTGCCTTGGATTTTATTTTATAAACAGTAAATATTTCTGAAAGCATTTTAGAAACAGGTTGGCCTTGTATTGTAAGATGAAATCAAAAATATCAGAAATTAAGCCAAGTCTCAAGATTTAAAAGAAAAGGAAGAAGAGGAGCCAGCCCTGAAAGACATGAAGTGCCTCGTGACCAAGACAAACAAAAAGTGTTTCTGTTTGTTTAAGTTTCACAACGTTGTTCCCTACCTTTTTAGGTGAGAAAACCCCCAGGGTTCCTCCATCTTCCCGAATGGCAACTCCCATCTCAGCCAACAAGGCCTCTCTAGAAAAACCAACAAGCGTATCAGAATAACAATACCAAAATGTCAAGTAAATCAGTCTAACTTGAATTGGAAAATAACGCAGAGCAAAAGCAACTGTCCATGTTTAAAGTCAGTAATACAAATGTGAAAGAATCTGCTTATCCCATCATTAATGAGAAATTATTTCTAAGAGAAATTGTATATTCAAAATAAAGTATGTTCTTGTCTTAGGTAAAGCTATATTCACCCAAATAAGAACTTTGTCACATCTGACTTTGGAGGTAGACAATAATTCATAAATATGTCTATTAATATAAAAAAAGGAAGAAAGGAATATTCCCTTAAGGCAATACATCCACTTCAAAGAACCATTCCTTAAAATCCAAGAAAGCAATCAGAAAGTAACTTTGATATAGGGAGTATTATCTATAAATGTGATTTTCTCAAATGTCATGTTCCCATGACCACCATCATATTGATTCAACAATTCTAGCTTAAAATCTCTATAATAGAGAAGAAAATTGTTTCATACATTCACTTTACAAACACGTTAGCACTCACTTCTGCCTCATCTTCCATGAAGGAAGAAGATAGGAACTAACATTTTTTAAATGTATATTTATTCCAATAGCAAAAGTATTATTTTGGATTATGTTTATCTTTAGGGTAGAGAATTGGGAGGTTAAGATAAAATACAGATTTTGAAAGTTTGCAACTGAAACTACTTAACCTCTTACCAAAGAGGTTCTAGAAAACATAACTCTGAAAGTCAGTAATCAGAACAGCTTTTTTTTAATTTGCGCCTTTATCAAAGGCAGTCTTTTTGCAAATTAAAAACTCTTCAATATCTTCAATTTTTATATGGATCCCTAGCAACACGTAGTACAGTAACTAAGAACAAGACTCCCTAGGGAACACGTGAATTTCACTTCAGAGTGTAAATTGGGCCATAAGTCCCATACGGGTTTGTTTGTTTGTTTTGTATTTGGGGAGGAAAGGTTCTTTGTTTTTAACTTCTATTTTATCTTTTCTTACTATAAAAGTAATCTAAATTCCTCAGAAAATTTAGAAACATTCCAGAGTTTAACTTCCTGACCTCTCCATTCTGATGGCCTCTGTTTTACGCAGCTTTTCTTCCCAGGTTTCGTTCAACTCAGCAATGATCTTCTCCGATTCCTAAGGAGGAAGTATACAGTTAAGTGCCAAAGAGTCTTATAATTTAACATTCCGTGTCTAGGAAGAGCAGCAAGAAGCAGATGATGCCCTTTTGAGCATATGAGGCAGAATCTAATACGATGAGGTGTTTTTTTATCCCTTTCTTAATATGTAAAGAAAGAAATCAGCCCCAGATGTATTATTTCTCTTTAAGCCCTAATAAAAATAGCTTATAGCGTGTGTGTGTATATGTGTGTGAGAGAGAGTGTGTGTGTAGAAGGAAAGGTAATATTAGCATCCCAAAATGCAAAGCACTGTTTCTGACAGCCACTGCTACAAAAGAATAAAGCCCCCAATGATATTTGTTGCTTTTCTTAAAATTATTTATTTATTTGGTTGCGTTGGGTCTTTTTCTTTTTTTTTTGGCTGCACTGGGTCTCCGCTGCTGCGCTTGGGCTTATTCTCTAGTTGCGGCGAGCGGGGGCCATTCTTCGCCGTGGTGTGCAGGCTTCTCATTGCAGTGGCTCCTCTTGTTGCAGAGCACGGTCTCTAGGCGCACGGGCTTCAGTAGTTGTGGCACACAAGGCTCAGCAGGTGTGGCTCGTGGGCTCTAGAGCACAGGCTCAGTAGCTGTGGCACACGGGCTTAGCTGCTCCACGGCACATGGGATCTTCCCGGACCAGAGCTCGAACCCGTGTCTCCTGCATTGGTAGGCAGATTCTTAACCTCTGCACCACCAGGGAAGCCCTGCGCTGGGTCTTAGTTGCGGCAGATGGGCTCCTTAGTTGTAGTTTGCCCGCTCCTTAGTTGTGGCACACAGCCTCCTTAGTTGTGGCATGCAAACTCCTAGTTGCGGCATACATGTGGGATCTAGTTCCCTGACCAGGGATCGAACCCGGGCCCCCTGCATTGGGAGCTCAGAGCCTTAACCACTGCACCACCAGGGAAGTCCCTTCATTGTTTTTTGTTTCACTATAATTTCACCACACCACCACAACACTGACAGGGTTCAGAACATGCTCCCCCAAATATGGTATTATCTTGGCATACTGAATACTTTTAAGCTGAGTGATTTAAGAAATGGTACAAGTAGGAAGGACTCTCTGAGCTCCTCTTGAAGCAAGTCGTAAGACCCTCATGAGATGTAACCTCCCTACACCTGGAGGAATGGAGCATCCTTATTTCTCAAGATGAAGGAACACGAAGAATGTGAACAGATAGGCCTTCATTAAGTTTCCCCAGTTTACTATAGGCAGACCTCGTTTTATTATACTTCACTTTATTGCACTTCTCAGGTATGGCATTTTTTACAAATTGAAAGTGTGTGGCAACCCTGCATCAAGCAAGTCTACCAGTGCCATTTTTCCAACAGTATTTGCTCACTTCGTGTCTCTTGTGTCACATTTTGGTAGTTTTTTTTTTTTAATTTATTTTTGGCTGCACTGGGTCTTCATTGCTGTGCATGGGCTTTCTCTAGTTGCGGCGAGTGGGGGCTACTCTTCATTGTGGTTTGCGGGTTTCTCATTGCAGTGGCTTCTCTTGTTGCGGAGCACGAGCTCTAGGCGCACGGACTTCAGTAGTTGTGGCTCACAGGCTCTAGAGCGTAGGCTCAGTAGTCGTTGCTCTGCAGCATGTGGGATCTTCCCGGACCAGGGCTCGAACCTGTGTCCCCTGCATTGGCAGGCGGATTCTTAATCACTGCGCCACCGGGGAAGCCCACATTTTGGTAATTCTTGCAATATTTCAAACATTTTCATTATTATTACATTTGTTATGGTGATATGTGATCAGTGATCTTTGATGTTACTACTACAATTTGCTGAAGGTTCAGATGATAACACTTTTTAGCAAGAAAGTATTTTTAAATTAAGGTGGTTTTTTTTGGACATAATGCTATTGCACACTTAATAGACTACAGTATAGTGTAAACTTAACTTTCATATGCACTGGGAGACCAAAAAATTTGTGTGAATCACTTTATTGTGATATTCACTTTACTGCGGTGGTCTGGAACTGAACCTGCAATATCTTCGAGGTGCCTATACTCTTAACGCAATCCCCCTTTGTTCTATCACATATTCCCACAACTTTTCACTCTTCACCAAACCCAGCATAAAAATGTTCATGTTTAACACTTCTTTGGGCCTTCATTTCCTTATGAAGTCTTCCATGTCACGTAAACAAATACTAAATAAATTTGTATGCTTTTCTCTTGTTAATCTGCCTTTTGTTAATCTGGGGCCCCAGCCAAGAACCTAGAAGGGTAGAAGGAAAGATGTTTTTCCTCCCCTAGCATACGATACCCCTCTGAACATAACCCAATTCCCGATATAGAAAGGTGTAATACTAATCTCATATGAAGGCATGCAGCCACTAGAGTGACAATTTCCCAATCTCTTGCTGAGTGTTTATTATATGCCAGAAATATAAGAACTAAAACATGTTTCCTGATTTCAGGAGCTTACTGTATACCAGGGAGAGAAGGAAGTAACTGATCATTCATTCATGCAGTAATTATACGTAACTGCATTACATGCCAAGCCCTGTTCTAGGCAACTAGAGATATGGCAGGAAACAAAATTCCTGCTCCTCATGAGGCTTATATTCTCATAAAGACACTCAGATAATCAATCCATTTTAATCAGTAAGTCAAATATATAGGATGCCAGATAGTGATAGAGCTTTGTAGAAAAATAAAGCAAAGAAAAGAGGAATGTAGGGGGAGGGGTGGGTGAGGGAGCAATCTGCAGTGGGGTTGTCAGAACACAGCTCACTGACAAGGTTCTACATAGGCAGACACAAAGGAAGAGCATGGGTATGTGAGGGAATAGGTAGGAAATGCCTGGCACTTTCCAGGAACAACAGCATAGCTAGAGCAGCATGTTAGAGGATTGTGAATGGGAATGGTAGGAAAAAACAACAGGGCAGTGTGTTAAGTGCTACAACTGAAGTGTTCACAGGTCTGCTGGAAGGTGGATGAGTCAAGGCTGAGTGATACTCAGAATGAACTGACCAGGCAAAAAATGGAGGGAGAGGGGTACCAAAAAGGGAGTTAAGCACATGGAAAAAGCAGGAGAAAGTGCTAGTCCTGGATACGAAATTAGAAAGTCAGATGACAATGAGGATAATGATGATGAGATAATAGTAGTGGTAGTGATTCAGGATGAGAAGTTTTGACAGTTCACAAAATATTTCATTGTATAATTCATTTACCGGGCTATTGTATGAAGCCTCTGAGATCCCAAAACATAACTAACTACATAGAAAGAAATTGTGAATATGTAATACAATAAACCCTGAGGCATCTGGCACTTGGTTTTCTGGAACGAGGCATGGTAGCATGTTAAAAAGCCGAGTTGGGCTTCCCTGGTGGCGCAGTGGTTGAGAGTCCGCCTGCCGATGCAGGGGACATGGGTTCGTGCCCCGGTCCGGGAAGATCCCACATGCCACGGAGTGGCTGGGCCCGTGAGCCATGGCCGCTGAGCCTGCGCGTCTGGAGCCTGTGCTCCGCAACGGGAGAGGCCACAACAGTGAGAGGCCCGCGTACCGGAAAAAAAAAAAAAAAAGCACAGTAGGGCTTCCCTGGTGGCGCAGTGTTTAAGAATCTGCCTGCCAATGCAGGGGACACGGGTTCAAGCCCTGGTCCAGGAAGACCCCACAGGCCACGGAGCAACTAAGCCCATGCGCCACAACTACTGAGCCTGCGCTCTAGAGCCTGTGAGCCACAACTACTGAAGCCCATGTTCCTAGAGCCCACTCTCTGCAACAAGAGAAGCCACCGCAATGAGAACCGCAAACCGCAACGAAGAGTAGCCCCCGCTCGCCACAACTAAAGAAAAGCCCGCACACAGCAATAAAAAAAAAAAGCTATTAAAATAAAAAATATTAAAAAAATTTTTTTAAGTATTTAAAAAAAGAAGGAAAGACTCAAGGAGTCAGAAGAAACAAACAGGAGAGCATGATGATCGATGATGATGATGATGATGATGATGATGATGATCATGGAGGAGAAGAACAATTAACAACAACAACAGGCTAAGCTATAGACAAAGAGCAAAACTGATAAAAGTTAGAAAAGGCCTGGGCGTCAGTAAGGTGAATATAAAGGGGACCACGCAGCAGGTACTCAGAAATGAGTCGGTTACAAAGTGGGAGAAGCTAGAGCAAGCCTGCAGCGGAAGGCAGGAGGGTAGAGACAAAATCACCTAAACTGGCTCTCATCAACCCCCGCGCACACACAGAGGCTGAAAGACTCAAACAGCCCCCTGAATGGCATCTCTACACAGTCCTCCAATAGGAATGAATAACATGCAGTGCATATGCCACTCCACTGCTGAGTGAGGAACCAACAAGCCACGTTAGAGGGCCAGCAGCCAAGAAAAACCCATATGGTCACGGTAAGGAGTGAGATAGCCAGAGAAGGAAGTGTGCCAGGTATCGAGTGGTCAACAGCCTACCTCTAACATGCCACAAGTTATTCAACAACTGAAACAGTATAGCATTAAATGCTTCTGCAAATGACTATAAAAGGGCAAGTACAATATAAGCTACCACCATAACCTACAAGATTTTAAGGCTTATTAAACACTGCTGGAGGGGGATGGGGGACGGAAGCACTGGGAGTTTGGGATTAATAGATGCAAACTATTACATATAGGATAGATAAACAAGGTCCTACTGTATAGCACAAGGAACTACCTTCAATATCCTGTGATAAACCATAATGGAAAAGAATATAAAAAAAAGAATGTCTATGTGTGTATGGCTGAGTCACTCTGCTGTCCAGCAGAGACTGGCACAACACTGTAGATCAACTATACTTCAATTAAAAAATTAAATTAAATTAAAGACAGCTGGATAGAAACCTTCACACTCTAAAAGTGACAACTTCAAAAACAAAGGCATAGGACAACAGGATGTCCAAACCACAGCACCGAGACTAGTGCTTATTATATATACTGTGGTCCACAAGCCACTCTGATATTAGTTATGAAATACAAACTGACCTATGAGATACTTAAAGTATTTTTTTCCTGGTTGGTTATCTTCAGAAAAAGAGTGTGTCAGAGCAGAGGTTAATCCGGCTGTAGTAAAGCTATTCTATTTGGGGGCAACTATAAACTCACCCCAAGGAAGCAAAGTTACTGTCTAGGAATCCTCTTACCATCTTGCTGCCAACTCTAATGTGACCTCTCTCTTTTTACTCACCACCTGGAGGGTAAATCAGAATATGAGCTCCTTGTAGAAAAGTTAATTAGTAAGCTGAGGAAGGTACAATATACTTTTCTTTTTCATTAGGGCTTAAAAGTTGCAACTTTTATGTTGTCTAGAAAGTTACTTTTTAAAAAAAATTCTTTTAATTTATTTTTGGCTGCTTTGTTGCTGCACGCGGGCTTTCTTTAGTTGCAGCGAGCGGGGGCTACTCGTTGTTGTGGTGCGCGGGCTTCTCATTGCGGTGGCTTCTCCTGTTGTGCAGCACGGGCTCTAGGCGCAAGGGCTTCAGTAGTTGCTGCATGCGGGCTCAGTAGTTGCGGCACACGGGCTCTGAGGTGCATGGGCTCAGTACTTGTGGCTCATGGACTCTAGAGCGCAGGCTCAGTAGTTGTGGTGTACGGGTTGTTTCTGGGCGGCATGTGGGATCTTCCCGGACCAGGGACCGAACCCGTGTCCCCTGCATTGGCAGGCGGATTCTTAACTACTGTGCCACCAGGGAAGTCCCTAGAAAGTTACTTTTTTAAACTCTGAAGAAAACGTTAGAGAAAACAATATTGAGTGTCATTTAGCTAAACTTCAGTGCTGGAAAAAGCCATTTATTCCAGAAACATTCTAGAAATATAGAGACCGAGGACCAGAGAAACTAAGTGATTATCCCGACGCCCCACTTCTCCCTGAGCCAGGTCTATAGTTGGGTTTCCTGTGTGTTCTGTTTTCCAATTAAGGCAGAATCAATAGCCTTTAAAGAAAATATTCTACAAAATAGCTCACCATAAATTAAGAAAGAGTGAGGAATATTCTTTCTTCAAGCCTGAATAACTTAGTATAAATAAAACAGTATAAATAAAATAGAGATGCCAACAGGAAGACAGCTTTCAGTCTGAGTCATCAACTTACTCTGCAGGCAGGCCTGGCATGCTGGTCTCCAGAGCTGCCCATACCTCATTCTAGAAACCTAATTTTAAGATTAAACTGAAATTGGGATTCATGCTTCAGAAATGAGTCGTCAAGAGGACACTCTTTAAGGGTCTTTCCTTCCTGCAGGTACTGTAGATTAAAAAATTCTGAAAAAACAGAGTGACATCAGGAACATTTTTTTAAGCTCCAAGGAATGTTGGGCTTAGGCGTCATTCACTTTGATCTCACATCATGTATTATCTAGCTATTTATACAGCACTGGTTAATAACTATGTTCATAATGCTAAATACAATTTAATTACTTCCTCATGATCCAGTTAAGGTGGCAGAGAAGTCCACAGAACAAGTCAGAAATATTTCCCCCCCAAAAAATTACAGTTTAACTTGTGGTATTTAAATAGTTAAACACTTGCTACATGGAACATTCCTTGAAGCCATCAGATGGGTTTTACTGTACTGAACGCAGCATGCGTCATAAGTGAGCTCCAAGTGTGGGGCCCTCGGGCTGCCTAGCACAGCATTTACCCTTGCATGCTTCTGTAATGGATATTTGTGGATATTTATAGTCTAAGCCTAAGCAATGGCACTCACAGTACTGACACTGATGCCAGACTAATAAACACCAGAGGCACCACATAGTAACTGTAGCTACATATTTAAAACCTTATCAAGTCGGAATCCAAATCAAGGAGACAACATTTCAACTCAGTTTGAGCTGCAACTAAAAACTGAAAGCAATTACACTTTACTCTCTATTGCCAGAGGTTTGTGGAGGGCTCAAGATATTTATGATGGGGTAACATGGGTCTCTTCCATATGGAAACAGGCTATTCAATGAATTAAGCAATAGCAACTCCCTATGTAAAAGTGTTCTACCAACTGAACATTTTTTTAAAGTTAAAAGTAAAGAGAAGCAAAGGGACATAAAATGTTAGGAAAATGAATTAACCTCCTGTATTACTGTTTTCCATTAGGCACAGTATTTTTCTCCTACAGTGTCATGTCTTAGAAATGCCACTTCTTCACACTCAACATGAAACAGTCCAAAAATGAGAAATTCTCAGGCATTTCTATCACACAAACACTGCCTTGCCCTGTGAACACAAGATGTTATCTGCCTGCAGCATTAAAATGTAGGTCTGCTGACATGAACTCTCACCATTCACAAAATAGGAGTCGAACTAAGGCGCTTATGCTTCAGTAAACTACCGTGCTGCATTAAAAAACAAGATTGAACGCAAAACCATAAAGAAACTCTTTTCTAAAGCTAGGGAAAATGGAAGATGTCATTTAGGTTGGCTAAAAGGAGAACTAAAACAGAAATTTATTTTCTGATAAAAGCAATACAGTTTTGTTTTGTTTTTGCTGGGAAGTAGGGAGACTGGGGGGAGGGTTCCGTGAATAATGGCAGTGTTATTCCCTAGAGACTATCTGGAAGATACAGGGCAACCTAATGCTTAAAAAGTCTGCTCCACATCTTGACTCCTAACATTCAACATTATTTTCAGTTGGTTCCACTTGGCAGTTGGGAAGAATTTTTTTTCCTACATCAAGATGTGTGTTAAAGGGAATGTACACTAAGGTAAGATTCACATAGTATGATTCAAGATCCCCAAAGAAAAATAACATTTTATATTGAATAGTAAATGAAAGATTTCACTTTTCCTTCCCACAGAACCTCTGCATGTCCCCACTGGCCTGAACAGAACCCTACACAGCAACTTTGCCTATCATGATAAAATACAGAAATAAAAGCCTTCTTACATAGGGCTTCATGAACATCGTTAGTAAAATTTCAAAGTCAATTTCACAATAGCAGAAATTATCCTCTCCTTTGCAATATTTAATGAAAAGGTTTCTCACTCCCTGTCCCTCTGCCAAGTATTTTAGAATTTCACCCACTTTCCACTAACAAGTTCTGAAGGAAGAAACAAGATTACTTTTGTTTCTAAAGCACCTTATGTTAGAAGTGAGTGAAATGCCAAGGAAAAGGTAGGCTGATTAAGAAGCAGAAGCCCATTCTTCATATAAAATCTTTTTCAGCCGCACCTGCAAACCAAAATGAATGTTCTAGCATCTTCAATTATCAAGCTAAATTCCCTTTTAGCAAAAAGGTTCAGCAAACCTTCTCCATCGTTAACCTGTCAAAGTATGTCACTATTCTCAACGGTCCTTGAATGAGCAGCCATGGTGGAGAACACTGAGTGCAATGTGAAGGGGATTGCACACTTGGGGCAGGACTGCAACCCCCCACCTCCTTAAAGTTTCTTTGCTCTCCTTGTTTTTCCTATCCAGTACTCTTGTTTTTTAAAAGTTAAGTTCTAAGCAGCTAGTGGGAAGCAGCCACATAGCACAGGGAGATCAGCTCAGTGCTCTGTGACCACCTAGAGAGGTGGGAGAGGGAGGGTGGGGGGGAGACGCAAGAGGGAGGGGATATGGGGATACACGTATATGTACCCCAGTACTCTTGAATACAAAGGCCCACAAGGTACGGATAAAACTATCATCCTGGAAATGACAAGCAGGGAAAGAAAAGGCATTTGTGTTGTTGTCACGGTGGTTTCATGGATGGCACCACAGGTGACAACTGTCTGCTCTCACTGTAGTCACCAAGGGGGAAGGAAGAACCTACGAGTCAGAAGGCTTTGCTGCTGCTAACGTTCGTATTCATGGAGAGAGACAGAAAGTACCTGAAAGAGCCAGCAACAGGCTGGGAAAGCCAAGCCGGGTGCCACGGTGGGTGACCGGCACACGCAGGACTCAAGTGCGCACACCAGCACTAACATCCGTGAGCCCATATGCACCAGCACAGGAGGGGGCGGCCCTTCCACAGCAGTGCTCCCAGGGCTTTCTGTGAACTTCCAGAAAACATCATTTCACGTGTCTCTGAATAAACCTGGTACAGCTACTCAAATGTGCAAACTTTCTTTTGATTATACATTTTACTAACAGAAGCAGGAGCCTATACAGAATTCCATCTTCAAAATAAACCAAATGTTTAATTAGTTTCCAGTGAAATTTCTAACTCAACAATTTCACTGTGACTTATAAACTACCTCAGAATTAATGGACGTATCTACTTATCAGTTACTTTGCCTGGCCAACTTACAATCTGCCTATGCATCTCCCTCCCATCCCTGCTGGGCCACGTGAGACTCAAGTATTCTGGTGAAAATTATCTTACAAAGCAGCAATTTCAAGACACCTCTGAGAGTTAGAAATTTCTTCCATATGCTGAACCAGAATCTCCGTGATTTTTAGTCCTAACTCTGCCTTGTGGAGCTACACAGAATACCTTTCATTGAATCTGAGTTACTACTTACCTTTAGACGTTCGATGGCTTCCTCTCCTCCAGGTGTAGACATGATTCTCTCCTGAATACTGGTCACAGATGTTAAGCCCACCTGACTACTGAGTGAGCAGGAAGATGGAGATGAAGTAAGGGACCCCATGGATGCTGTGGAAAAATTGCCAGGACGTTGATTCTCAGAGGCTAGCAAGTACCTATGCTTATTGTTCTGAAAATCTTTCAGATCTGGGAGATAGAAGGAAGGGAAGGCAGAAAAAGTAGGAAAGAGGGAAAGGAGCAGAAGAAAAAAGAAAGGAAGGAACACCAGTGTAAGAAAGGACAGCATTAAAGCAGAAAGACCAAGACAAGTTATGATACAAAGACAAGTTATAATTGTTCTAGATGGCAGTTCTAAAACATGTCTGTCTTTAATACTGGTATTTTAGAAGTTAAGAACCGCTTCTGAATTTAGAAACTAAAAAATTCTAATGTGGGTTAACATTGTATCTGTTAGGGGGTAACCAGAGCCTCAAAGAATACAGCTCAGGCTCTCCCCCTAAACAGCCATGCTACATTCCTGTATTCCTTCTATGGCTCCAAATCTACAACGTCTTAGGTTTATACTACTCTTAAATCCCAGTAGTTTGTAACAGTAAGGGAAAAAAGATGATCATTTATTTATCAATATCAATACATATCAGTCTGGCCCAGTATGTATGTCATTCAGCAAAAATTCCCAAGAAAATGTTATGTTAGAACAAAAATCCGAGTGCTCAGTAGTGTTCTTTGTATGCTAAAAGGGATTTTAAAAATATGCCTTTTAAAAAAAGGAGAGGTAATCGTAGCAATTATAGGGATCTTGTATAAGTCCTGGTTAAGAACTTAGGGTTGACCACCTCAACAGTGATGAACAATTAGCAAACTATTGAATTTGGTGTGGCTTACATTCGCCTATTAGAGCAAGCAAAAATTAAGGCTGATTATCTGCTAATTTAAGTAAGTCTCTCACTTTGCCTAACCGAATGACCATGAGTCATTGGGGAGCTGAGTTCCTAGTATGGAATGCAAGTTTTAGGGACATACTTTCATTTACTAAGGTCTTTAATAGAGCTCTAAGTTTTGCTTTTAAACTTAGTTTTGGTAAAAAGAGCCACAGACAACAAATTTATTAATTTGCTGTTTGTACTTTTCTTCATTAGTCAACTTTCTCAAATAGGCACCAGAGGAAATCCATAGGTATTGGTGCATTCCTATTTTTAAATTAGCTCATTTTTAAATGTAAGAAAATCTACATTGTTCAAAGTTCATATCAAAACTAAATAAGTTTTCCTTAAAGGATATAATATGAATCAACACAAAGAGTCAGAAGAAACATCATTAGCTCTCTCTGCATCTACCCATGTGAATTTAATCAAAGCCAGCTCTTGAAGCCCCTTAAAACCAGTGGTTGCTTCAAGACAGTTTGAAAACCACCATCTGCAAATATAGAACATAGGAAAACAAGCAAGTTTTAAAAGGGGGGTAGGAACTGGAGCAAAAAATTAGCCATCAGGTGATGGCAGCAAGGTGGGAAAGAATAGGATGGATGGAGTTTAGAAGGTCCAATTGACACATGCAAGCCCTAAAAGGCATTAAGGGTAGTGACTGAAACAGAAACTTAGAGGTAGTCAAGGCTGCTTTCCTGCACAGATACAGAATTAAAACTTAGTCATGCATAGCTTTCTGGGAGATTCCACAACTGCTCAGAAAAGAGTGAGGCAGCAAGCTGGCAGCAGCATCACCTGGAGCACAAAAGCAAGAACAAAGGGTGTCTTTCCCACACCAGTTATCAGTTGGCTTTGGAAATCTCAGACAGAGCTGTTCCAGTCCAAGAGTCACTCTGGATTAGGATGTTATAGTGCCTTCAAGGCTTAACCTCATCACAGCAGCCAGGGCTACCTTTGTTTTCTCCTATGTTATTGCCTCACTATCTACCAAGACTTGTTACATGCCCTACTGCAGAAATAAATCAATAAAAATCTAAAACTTAACCCCCCAAAATCAAGTTTCTTCATTTATTCTAATAATTTCTTGATGAATTATCTTAAAAGGGTAAGAAATTACTTTCTTGCCAACATAATGACAGATATGCAGCAGGTAATGAGGTGTGTGATCCTTTATAAAATGTCCTCATTTCAAGCACACATTTTAAACACCCAAGTTTTTTTTTTTTTTTTTTTTTTTTTTTTTTTTTTTG